AATATTCATATTGAGAGCAGAACAAGAGGAGAAGTTAAGGGAGGACTATGTAAGAAGGGAATCCATCCAGGGTAAGGGGCACAGGTGGCCTTTGGGAGTCTTTTTCTGCCTCAAAAATGGTGGAGTTATGCTTATAACTAGAGAAAACACAATTTAGAGCAGAAGTTTCTATCTCTGTCTTCATTAAAAAAGGATAAATTTAATCATAGTGAAGAGCTATACATTATAACAGTGTTTTTGAAATATGTCCAACAGGAATGTCGTGCAAATCTGAAAAGGCTCTGAACAGCGGAGGTCTTGGAAAGGGACAATACACAATTGGCTTGGATACAGTGTTACAAGAGCCTTTTGCTGGTTGTGGTGCAACTCTTGCTCTGATGTTAAACCATGTTTAATACCCTGCTTGCACATAGCATTGTTTTTCAGTTCCAGGAAAATAATTTAAATCAATGTCTACGGTTCTGGGAAAAAATAAAGTAAAAAAAACCAAAAAAAAATTCTGATATTTAGATTGGCTGAGCGAATGGAGATATTTTAAAAATGGTTTCAATAACTTTCTGTAAGATAACAGTTGGCTTTCAACTGATAAAGCTGGCTAATTAGTCAGTCATGATTGAAATCAGAACTATAAAGCTGAAAACTCATTAAATTAACATTCTTCCACATCTGGAACTTTCATAAGACAGTAAATAGTTCTGATTCTTCCTGAAAAATAATGGCTGAATACCTGTAAAATCCATTATGTAATAACAGAAGTGCTGCTAGCATTACTTTAGCAATTTTGAGGAGCTGGCTTTGCCAGCCCTTTTTGGATTTTCTTGGGAACTTTTCATCTCTGGCATCTCAGGCATCTCCAACTGTAAATGTTTTGTATGATTTTCCTCCCACAGTAAGTTGTAGAGGCTTCACTGAAATAAATTAGGTGCCATTTTAAAGTGAAGTGCCTTCTAGTCTGAAAATATTTTGATTTTTGCAGAGCTTTGGACAGATTGGCTAGTACGTTTAGGGAGTTCTGATCTTTTTTTTCTACTTCAAACATATATAAGGAACTTACATTTCTTCCTTTACAGCTTAAGATGCATCAAGACATTTCTCTGAAAGTGAAGCACACACTTTTCTGTGGAGAGTGCTCCTGATTTGACAAAGAACAAAGGTGCTTGGTGGTACACATCTACCACTTCATCTTTCTTGTCTTGAAATAAGGATAGTACCTTTGGTTGTGATCTAACTAATTTTAAGAATTAACTAGAATGTAATTTCCTAAATGCTTATGAAAACTTCATTTATGATCATGCAGTTCTGAATAATATTTTGCTGAGATAAGTCTCAGTGATTTCCAAAATCAGTGTGTCTGTGTTCCTCATGATTCCTTCTGTCTTGTTGCTTCAGTCTTGTTGCTGCTCCAGACACTAAAGCTGTTGTCTCAGAACCACTATCATGCCCTTGTTTCTGATAATTGCTCAGCCTGATGTTGCAGGTGTAGAAGTTGTGATTTCTGTTATTTCACCTAACTGGATTTGTGAGTCTCTCTTGATTTTTTTTTTAGCAATTTTGCAACTGAGGAATTATTTAATTGCTAGCAAAGATGTTGGAATCATAGAATATTTTGTGTTGGAAGGGACAGATCATCTAGTTCCAACCCCACTGTCGTGGGCAGGGATACCTTCCATTAGACTGGGTTGCTCAGAGCCCCATCCAACCTGGCCTAGAACACTTCCAGGGATGAGCATCCACAACTTCTCTGTGCAACCTGTTGCACTGCCTCACCACCCTCACAGTAAAGAATTTCTTCTTACTATCCAGTCTAAACATACCATCTTTCAATTTAAAGCCATTGCCCCTTGTCCTATCACTATGTGCCCTCATAAAAAGGTCATGTGGACAGATATTTAGTTATGTTTTTGCCTGTAACTTTGTAGAGTAATTAGTCATTTAAGGATGTGCATAGTCATGGATAAGCACCACTATTAAGGATTAATTTTATTATTTACTTTCTTGTACAGTTTCTTACAAGGTCTAGATGGCAGCACCTACTGGACCACATGGTGATGTTCTCCCACTCTGCCTGCCTACATTCTCTTCTTACAGCAGGATGAAAAATGAAGAGAAAGCAAATTGTACACTTTTCCTTCCTTCCTTGTAAGCTGGATGCCAACAAGTATCCCTAGGTCTTGATACACCCCTGGTCAAGACAAGACATGCCAGATACGCCTACACCTGAAGTTACAAAACACTGGTTTTGTGAAACCAGCCTAAACCTCGTTTAAAAAACACTATACTGCTGGTTCCCACAGTATAGACACAGCTTGAGAGAATTATTTGAGCAGATTGCTGTGATAGCAAAAGGGCCAGAAGAAGCATAGATATCTGGATTGAATAGGAGCAATCAAAGGCTGGGGAGTTAAAATTCATTTTACATTGAGTCTATTGTAATATCAGGCACTCCTTCAGTTTCTTCCTTTAATCTATTCGGATCAAGGTGTCTGGAAAAATTTCATGCCTTTTTTTTCACCACAAAAGAAAAATATGAAAAGAAGAGAAGAATGCTTTGCTCAACTCTTTATCAAGGGTTTATGTTGAAGTCACTAACATCTGATTTAGAATATTTTTAAAAATTTTGCAGACCCTGAAATATAATGGAAGCGATGTTTCTAAATTTTCAGCAAAGGCTGAGTTAATTTATGTCTTTTTCCAAGGGGTTGTGCAACTATACAAGTTTGCTGACAAATGCCTTGGTTAGGTTTTGCTTAGTTCTTACTCACCAAGTATAAAAATACTTACACATGCTTGCAGATGAGGCTGCTAGTGACCTTCACTTTCTGTTTTGTAATGTTTAATATGCAGTTTCAATGTTTTGGATTTTTCCTTAGCAGGATAAAAGATGCACTATAACTCTTTTAAAAATAGTCTTCACAGCTGAAATGTTAATTAAAGTTTCTGTTTGGGAGGTTGAGATTTAAATACTTCCGAAATAGCTTTACATGGAGCAAAGTAAAAATTAGGACAATGTGAAATATGTCCTGGTGTTGTATCAAAACCAAAATATGGAGCGCTACCAAGCCTAGATTTGTGTGAGGTGTGTTGTGTAGTATCCATGGAATAAGATTGTTTCCTTGCAAGGCAGGAGACAATGGAATAAAACCCACTTTTACCCATATTAGCTATTTCCTATTAGGAAACACTGGATATTGTTTTTCATAGCTACACTTTATGAAGTGCATGTTATGATAATTGCCAAGTGCTGTGGTACTTCTTCTTATTTGGTAAATCTTGTACATGTGGATGAGATATTATTTTTCCATGGATATGTTTATATGAACTCCAGCCAGTGCGTCTACCTAGAAAACTATGTCAATGTAATGCAATGTTATGTAAGTTTTGTTTTGGTTCTTATATGCTGCACATCACAGAGTTGAATGTCTTCCAGAAGTGCATTAACTGGTGGAATTGTCATCTGCTAGATATGGTTTTCTCTCTCCCATTCATTCTAAAGAGGGCTTTTGTGCTCTCATTATTTTTGGCCCCTTTTAAAATAGTTATATTATCTGCATGTGGTTCTGTATGTATGTGTGTGACTCACATTCAGAGTAGAAGATAGTGAGCTTTGTCTGGGGATAATTCCAGTGGAAACTCATCCAGAAATCTGCAACTGTTCTGAGAAAGCCCTGTTTTCTGCAAAGCTTTTCTTTGGAGATGGATAATCATGCTGCATGTGCAGAATGAAGCTACTGTCTGTTTTACCTCATCCTGTCTCTCTCTCTGCAAGCAGCTTTTCAAATAAGTGTCTGGGGTCCCAAACTTCTGAATCCCTTAGGAACAGTGGTTCACTGGAAGTAATCCTACATATTAAAAATAGGTTTTAGACCTGCATCCATCCAGGAGTGGTTCTCACAGCAGCTGAATCTTGCCCTTGCACTGCTGACTCTGCAACATGTGGGAGGGATGGCAGGGCCCCAGTTAGAGTGCTCCCAGGAGTAACCCACATAGGAAGCAGTATTTCTGTGGGATATCCCTCTCCTTTCTTTCATTCTTTTCCAGATTGAAGTCTCACACTGGGTCTTCAGGTGCTAAAACTGAAGCAGTGGCTGATATGTATCACACAAGGATTAGAGTGGCTCAAGCCCTTTTGACCAAGCATTACTGCTGTGTAGTTTTTTATCTCTGGGATTTTTCCCCAGCTGGATATTGTTTTTGAACTGAAGTAATCTGTGTTTCTCTTAGGAGCTGAGCTGTCTGGAAAACATGTTGATCAAATTCCAACATAGCTTTTCCAAGAGTGTTTCTTTTGTCTTTTGCTAGCTGCTTCCTGATGCTGTTTATCCAAAACCCCACCTGCTGTCAAGGGCAGTGCTGGCCATGTGAAACATCTTCACAGCCATGAAGCAGCTGTACCTATTAGGCTTAGTTTCTACAATGAATTACCAAGTATATGTAATTTAAAACCCCCTCTTCTTCTCAGCCTTCATATCACTACCAGTCATCTCATTTCACCTGCAAGCAGTGATGGAATTAGGTTGCCAAGAATTTGCGAGGTTTGCTTTCTCTACACCAAATTTAGCATAATGTATGTATGGCTTGTGTTCAGCTTGCATAAGAAGAAGGGTAGTTTTTCTGTTTATTTGCCACATCATATAACCCTGGAATTCATCCTCTTCATGAATAGCAACAATAACTATTAATTTTTATTTATTTGGGGAAGAAGAGGGAAAAAAGGGAAATGAAGCTTTGGAGGGATGCAATAGGATGATACAATTCTCTTATAAATATTTCAAAATTCCAAGACAGTCTGAACTTGGAACTGACAAGCAAGAAAACTCACATGATTTACATAAGCTGTGGATGTCCAGAAAGCTGTATCAAAGGGAAACTGAGAATATAGTTTTGCTTTATAGTACTCTGTGCTATATTTGCATCAAACAATGAGAGAAGAGAAACTGAATTGTTTGAAACTACAAGTGGAGATCATTACCGTTCCTGAAGTAATTTTTTTTTTTTTTCAGGTCTTTTTTGTTCAGGAGGTCCTCAAGTGCTGTGGAAAAATAGAAGAGTGTCAATAACGGATTTGAACATGAGCTGCCAACAAGCTGGATGAACTGTTTGTCTGTCACATTCACTGAATATCCTGAAGTATTCCTGACAAGGTTTTAATTTTCTGCTAGTGCAGACTAATTTTGTTTTGAATTTTTTAAACATTAGGAAAAAATTTAACCTCTAAACTATATCCACAACTGAAAGGATCTGTGAGGGCTAATGTAACGATTTGTTCCAAACAGCCTACATAGCTCTTTGTTTCTCCTTTTGGCCAGTATCCATGAACACATTTAAGCTTTAGAAAGCCTTGAAGCAGTCATTACAGTTGTATTTAACCAATGTATTGCATGGACTTCTCACCATCTGTGATATGTGTTCAGTACAGGCAGCCTAATCACTGTAAGGTTATCAGTTTGGCCCTTTAGAGGATCCTGATATTGGCTTAAAAATCATGATCCTGTGAAATTTAGGGGACAGATTTTTAAAGTCACACTGTTACTGTTTTCTGATCAAATGCACCTATCTTTACCAACACATTTTTTACTTCTATCCATGTGTCCACATTCCTTTATCTCCTGTCAGCCAAGTTTTTGAAACTGTTTTTTGCAGCATTCTGTTAGGACAGGGTGTTGGGACTTTTGACATTTCTGAACAACTCATAACTGAGAAGTTAAGTATTGAATTCAATGAGTCTGTTTTAAGAAGGTTTTCGTGTTATTTCAACAGCTCCAACACTTGTTTACCTGGCTTTCCTGCAAAAAACACTTTTTTTTTCTTTTTTTGTTCTAGGGTTATCACTAGATATTACATCTGGTGTCAAAGTCTGTGACACTTGCGTGGGTCTGCGAAAATTTCTGAACTTCACTTAAGTAACATTTAACAAAAATATACATTGCATGCTTGGCACTGGAGAGATACCACAGTAAGATGATAGAGCAAGACTATGAAAAGGGATTCATGATGCATTCCCAAAGGACACATCTTGTTAAAATAAAATACAAGGAAAACAAGAACATATCAAGAATAGTCTCCATATTTCAAAGGGGACAAGGCATGCCAGGAAAAACACTGTAATCTTGCTTCTGTCTTGAAAGAAAATTTAAAAGCATTTTAAAAGCTTTCTACTTCAGTTTGGTGCCAGTGTGGATTTTCAGGCTTATAGGGCTTTTTTTTTAAAAAAAAAAATCTAGATGCAATACAGAAAATACTTAATTAAGGAAAAGAATTCCTAATTCTTCTTTTTTTCAGTGTAAAAAGATATAAAAATAAGATGTCTTGGAAGAGAAAGAAGAATGTCCTAGAGGATGGATTAAAACCATGGAATATTAACGTTGTGTGCATTTTTATGCAAAACTAGACAATCAAACTGGTATTAGCTGAAAAACTAAATAAGAAATTAGTGTTCCTTGCAATAATGAAGCTGGTGATGAAAACTCTTGTTGTCGTTACCTGAGTTCAAGAATAACAGTCTTAGCTGCAGTTGTGTCTTTGACAGAGAACACTACACAGCAGCTCCTGCTGGATATACATTATATGTTCTGCTGAATATTTTGCTTTGGAGCAAGTATTAGCGGAATAGGAATGGCACATAGTTGGAAAAATAACAAATAAGAAGAAATGTTTTTACCAAACCACACTGTTATGAACAAGTGAAGAGTGTGTGACTGATAAGGGAATGGACATGAAGAGTAAAAGGGATAGGGATAATGCTGTACAGGTTTAGGTGACATCTAGCAAAAGATAATTCTTTTATGCAGAAAATATAGCTGGTTTAGGCAGGACTGAACTACAAATGAGCCAAACTAAGTAGTGCTCAGAAGGTAGCATCAGGGCTTGTGTTTCTGGTCAGCCCTGTGTTTCCAACTGTCCTTGCTCTAAAGAGAATAGAAACCCTTAACATTCATGTTTACCTGCTTAGGCCATTACCTGAGCATCTGTTTTGTTTTGTTGGATTTTGGTATTCCCACCGATGAGCAGGAGTACAGAACTCTAGAGTAAAGTGAGTCTGTATAAGTAAAGGGGTAACCTAACCCAGCTGTAATGCAGGAGGGGAAGGAAGGACATTGCTGTGTTACTGCTTCTGTCCAATGTGCTGTCCACTCTGGTCCTCTTGACCTCTCCAGCTTCCTTCTCTTTCCCCTTAGGCTGCATTTATTTGGTGGAATTACATTTTGTTTCTCTGTGTGTATAGTTTAAGCTAAAAACCTGAACATTATTCTGTGCATTTGGTTCCATGTACTTCCAAAGATTAGAGGTATGTGCATTTGGGTTTTAGATAGTGACGTTTGTGATGGTCTATCTGGGAGACATGACCAGGTTAGAGCTGTGTGCTCAGCCCCAGTGCAGCAGGCAGCCCAGGACACTCCAGACCAGCCAACTTCAGCACTATAAAACTACCTTGTCCTATCTCCATCACAGTTTTTCAATGTGCCAGATAAAACAACCAAACAGAACCTTTGGAAGAAGGCAGAAAATGGAATTTCACTAAGAAGAGATATAACCAAACGAAAAGTTTCTGAAAAATAATGAGTTAAACACATGCCTGGAAATTATCTAGCTATTAAAAAATTAAAAAGATAGACCGCAGATTTTGGCTTCTTTTTTCTAGAAAGTGTCTGAAGTTTCTTAAGATGCCTGGTGGGAAGCAGTGACTACCTAGGACCCTGTAGGCTACTATGTCAGGGGAAAATGGAACTACCTTTTAGGGATTTATTTCATTCTGCCTTTCATATTACTAGACTTCTTTTTTGCACTGGGTATGTTTAAATTACATTGATCTTCAGAGAAAAAACCACCTCCCCCCGCAAATGAAAACACCCCAACGAAAAAACCCCAACAAAAACCAAAAAACAAAACCAACCAACCAAAGAAACCCCAAACCAAACAAAACCAGCTGAATTAATTTCAAAACTTTTTATTTGAGAAATAATATATGAATATAGACTGTCAGATTAATGCAGTATCAGGGAAGAAAAGACATTTTTTTTGTCTGCATTAGGTGCTTAGGGCAAGCATTCATGGTGTCTGAGGCAGTCCAGCTGTTGAATCCTGTGGCTTCAGCCACAACATCAACCAACCAGCCTGCCTAAACTTTCTTTTTATTAGAGAGTGAGACCCTGGAAAAAGCAACCAAAACCACCTGAGTTAAGAGAGTCCTGATCAGCCAGTGAAGGAACTTCTCCCTCTGTGCTGGATATGGTGAGAATTGCTTGCTTGTGAAGTGCCTAAAATTGGGTGATGCCAGTTCTCCTTTCTATATAATTTTTTTAGCAGCTAATAGATTACCCTGAATCTTCTATGAACTGTCATGAAGGCACTTACTTTGCTTTGTTTTAATTTCCCAGGAGTATATTTTTATTTCTTTCAGTTTCCTAAATTGTCCTTACCTAGTTTTTATGTCTCATTTCTTGCCCCATGATAAGATCATCAGAACAACACTTCATGATTTGGCCTTATAGGTGCATCAAAACTTGTGTGCAGTGGGAAACATTGCTTACTAAATTTAAACATCAAGGTGAACTGTTATTTACATGCAAGACAGCTTTACTGTTATGATCATTTATTTATTGCATTTCTAGTGTACTGGGAGCTTTGCAGCACATATTGCTAGGTGTGCTCTCTGCCCTTTGAATGCTGCTATTTTGGAATTTGCCTGAGAATAGAAAGCTGGTTGATCTAGTCTTGAAGCTTGACAGATGATATTTGTCTTTTGAAAGTGAGAAAACAAAATGTAATCACCATTCTTTGTAAGCATATGGAAAAATGTATATAGCAGGTGTGAGCAATTGTGATTTCCTTTCTCTGTTAATCACACTGTGCAGGAATATATGCAGGTTTTATGATCTGATTGCCTTCTTCATTCAGTGTAATTCACCACCATAGGGATAAATACTGCAGGGTAGGTACTGTGAGAGGTAAAATATATATTCTTCTTCAAGGTGGTGCATTCTATCTGCTTAATAAATCTGCTTCCAGCAGCTATAGCCAGGCATTAATAATGTAATTTGTGTCAGTCCATAGGGGCCTGGCAGCAGAGGAATTAGGACACCTGGCCACAGAGCCAGAGTTGTGAGTACAGGTTGTGCTCCAAATGTGTGCTGACAGTGGTTCCCAAGGGATCCTGCTTTAAATGAAGGCTTAGTCATGCAGGCTGGCAAGTGGAAGGTGAGCAGGTGTGGTGCCAACAGCCTCATGCTGGTCCTTGCTGCTTCTGCATGTTTCTGGGCATGCTTTTAACTGTATTCACCCAGGTCTCATCCAGGACTCAGGGAAATGATGGATGTGTTGTAGGTATGTATCTCTGCCCTCTCACACATGGACTCAGTGGTAATCAGGAAAATATTCCTGAGCAAGGTGCATGGTGTGCTTCAGATTGAGAAAGCTTCTGTGCATCAAAGGGAGACAGCCTTAGCTTTCCCAGGCGTAAGATGTAAGAGCAGTATGTGCTGTTACTCTGCTAATACAGTGATTATAATTTTCTGGAACATTATTCCAAAACTAACAATTCTTAATGTGGCACTGGATGTTCTGTTGGGCCCCACTGGATGCAAAGGCATCTAGTCAACCAATAATGTCTTTACTAAGTTCTACTGCACAGATCCAAAGCTTTCTCTTGCGGAAGATGGCCACTTGGTACACCCTTATTTAAATGCACAGGCTGTCCTTGAAGCGTGTTATTCTTAAAATAGATTGGGAATATGATATTATTTGCAAACAAACAGAACAACAGTGTCAAATTTGGTGGGGTAGCACTGTGCAGTCAATTGAAATCAAGACTTAATAACTTCTCTGGTAGAGGAGAAAAAGAGGGTATTCTTAGCTGGCAGTAAACTTTCCTGCCAACGTATTTGGTCTGCAATTGTTTCAGTTCTTTAAAAAGTATCATAAAAAGCTCCAGCTCTATTATATTTCTGCAAGCTCTTTGTTAATCTCTTGGTGTCTCGTGGAGCTCTGGTGCCTGTGCTGGATGAGGCTTTGATCACCACTCCCAGCAAAGAGCAGCTGCTCCTTTTCTCGGTACCTATGCACCTGAGGTGCATCAGTCAAGGAGAGTTATGTGCTATAGCTCCCAGTCTAGTGAATTGCTGATGCTAAAGAGGGAAGATCCTGCTGCTATCTCATGCTCTGTTCCTCCCTCATCAGGCTGCATAGTTCCAGCTGTCCTCTTCACTGTCTCTAGAACTCATCTAACTGTACAGCAACCTAATTCAACTTGGCAGCACGAAATCATAAAATAATTCCAAAACAGAAGCAAAGTATGGGGGTTTTGCTGCTTAGTAAGTTGAATTTTCTTTATTTTGCAGGTTGAGCATAATAAGTTAGACAAGGGAGGAGCTGAATCTCCTCTGTCTTTGGGAAAGGGGAAACAGACAAGGAAGGGAGAGAAAGAAAGTGGTGGAGCAGGACCATTGCATCTTAAAGCAACTAGCCATTGCTTTAAGCAAACAAATCCTCTCTGTTACACATCTGGCTATACTCATATCATCTCAATACCTCTCTGCCTCCAGGCATCCTTCTGCCCTGCCTGCGAAGTAATGATGTTCTGCTATTGCCATTTTACAGGAGAAGGCACAATTAGCCGGTCTCTTGACAGGGCAAGAAACTGAAGGTGAGTGACTAGAGGTTAGTGTTTGAATCACTGGCCATTCCTCCTTAGCAGAAGGGGCATCTAGTCTTTCATCCTCCCTCATAATTCCTGCTCTTATATGGTAACTGTAGTTCTGCTTATGAGCACACAAGAGTATTTTAATACTGCATTGCAAAGGCAGAGTTTTGGTATCTTTCTCTTGTCCTTTCATCCATGAACTATTACAAATAATCTGCTAGCCAGGGGGCAGAATGAAGGTTGCTTTCATTTGTTGCTGCCCTTTTCTAATCTCACTAGTTAGCTGCCAGAATTTTCTGATTTATAAGATAAATATGCTAGCACTTGGATTTCAAACTGCAAAACCCTGTTGAGCATATTCATATCCAGGAGTGCTCCTAATTGGAGTTTTTATTAAATTTTTCTTTGTATTCAGGACTAGTAATATGAAAAAGATATTATGCTGTTTGAAGGCTTCAAACTAGTAGACACCAAAGATTATCTTGCTTCTACATAATAAAAGTCACGGTGCAGACTGTACATGACAGTCAGGGACATGTTTAAAAGCAGTGTAATCAGCTTTCAGTCTGGTCTTTCTCTTTGCATGCATTTAGAAAATATTCAGACAGAAATATTCTACTCACTGGTCTTGCAGAGCTCGCTTTAACTAGCTACTTGTAAAATCTTTCAGTAACATGGAACAAACGCAGAAAATAGCCTATATAACATCTTTAAAATGAAGTACCACACTGGAATAGAATGCTTCTGAATGATATATTAACTGCATTTCAGATCAGTCCCAAATAATTTTTAATTACCTACATTTTGGTCAGTAACCTCTTCTACTTGTGGAGTACATGCAGACAGACTGCACTTTATTTGTTCATATTCTGGGAGTATTTTTGTGGTATGGAATACTTGGTATCCACAATACAAGCTGTACTATTTAGCTGTGATTAGTTACTTAAGTCATTTGTTATTATTTCCATTACCTAATTGGTCCTTAGAATCAATCCTGGAAAGTTAAGTTATTCTTAACACTTTAGGAAGGGAATATCTTGGTTTTAGGAACTGTATGCTATTTAAAAAGGAATGCAGCTCTACACTTGATAATAATTGTGAGAGGTATTGTCAGTACAGTTTGGTTTATGTCAGGGTGTATACAACATGTGCATTGTGTCTATTGTGTACTTGGATATCTTTGATCTGTGGGCTGTGGCTCTTCAAGCCACCCGTCAGCTTGGACCTGTGATCAGTGATAGAAGCGTAGACAGAGACTAAAGGTTTGATGCAGGGTTCTAGTTAAAGCCACTCCTTGCTCTTAAGGTGGCTTCTTTGTACCTTCTGTTCTGTGGTACATGTGGGTAAATGAGTTAGGATTTTTGATAGTTAAGAGCCAGGAGTTTATTGCTGCTTCCACTTTTGGTTGGACTGGAAGTGTTTATAAGGATACATTTAATGTTAAAGTCAGGATAATTATGAGAGTCAGGACTAGTTGGAGACTTCAGCTTCTGCTGAATCTATATAGGGATATTATACTCTGGGTAGCAGTATTAACTCTGGACAAATCAATGTCATTATGTTGCTTAAATATTATTTCAAGCTTCAGTTTTGGATTGATTTTAGTGAGTTATTCTTTGGCATCTGAAGTTTCAGTTTGATCTGTATTTGGCTTTCAAATTGCATTTTGAACTCTGCCCAGTAAAAATGAGAGACTGAGAAACAGAGCAAGACTTAAATAAAAATAAATAAAAATAAAAAGTGACAGGACAGTGCATTGAGCCTCTCACTGGTCAGTGGTGAGTGTTTGAGTATTGCTTGGATGGTAATTTCAACCTCTGAGCTTATACAGAAATGATAAGTTAGATGTTGCAGCGAATTATATTCAGGAGGTGCTTGCTACTCTTCAAGGATTATACAGAGGGACTTGTGTGATCTGGTTTCTGACTCAGATGTCTGCATTAAATACCTGCTTCTAGATGGAATTAATCAGGTCTTTTTACTTTTTTTTTTTTAATGTTAGCAGTAGCACTAATGAGGATCACTGAATTTTCAGTAGTCCTTCTCTGGAATTTCCTTAGATTGTTTTGTTCAGTGACTGAGCTTCTTTTCAGTTATTTTAAATAATGTTTTGAGTCCTTTTGGCAAATACAGAAATACTGTGAAGATGGGAAAGCTGGAGTGAAGGTAGGTTAGTTCATTCCAACTTTGTTCAGGCTTGAAGCAAATGCTTTTCCACAAAATGTTGGGTGGAGACATCCCAGATTCTGTAGCTCAGCCAGTCTGGCTATTTCTGTTGGAAAATTTTATTCATTTTATACTTCTGTTCAGGTCAATTTTCTGCTTGTTTCTTCTTTCTGACACATGTACAGACTCACCTGGTTCCTATACATTTGATAGAGTTTTCCCAACAAGTTCAGTGGTGTGAAAATATTCAGTAAGCAATACTTAATCACTCTGCCCCACCCCTGGAAAGAAAATTGTAGTGGTGAAGAGGCTTGAACAGGAATTGAATCTTGCTTATCTGAGGGTTGGTATGAACACAGAATTCATTAATCTGCAGCTCTAGCCCAGGCAGGCATTTTCATTGCTCTTTCCTCCTCATTTCCCCTCATCCTCTTGGCTGTTTGTCTTTGTCTGGCTCTTCCTCCACCATGGTTGTGAGTATGACTACAGAATATGTTGGACTGGGGAACTGTTCTGAATAGAAAAAATTATTATGATATTGGTGGTACAGATTATATTTCAGCTGATTCACTTCCTTAGGAGACTACACAAATGTTTGTGCTGGGAGGACACTTTGAGAACCAGGACTGGAGGTGGAGTAGGAACGGCTTCAGCTGGCAAAAGCATCATTGCTGCCAAAGCCTCAGTCCCAGGAAAGTGCTGTGAAAGCAAAGGCAAAGCTGATCAAGTGACCAGATATGGTGTTGGCAGTGGGTCTGCTTGGAGCAGGGTGTTGGACTAGGTGAGCTCTGGAGGTCCTTTCCAACCTTAATTATTTTGTGGTTCTATGATTCAGACTTAAATCCTGTTTCAAGCATCCTTTGGCTCTGCCAAGCATTGGCACACATCTCATTCTGCACAAATACAAAGATCAAATAACAAAACTGTTCAACAGAGATAGAGGCCCTCTGAACATTTGTTATGTTCAACGTAGTGAAAGTTAGATCACATCCATACAATTTTTATTTATTAAGAAGAACACTATTGTTACTTTTCTTTACTCTTTTCTGCCTTATTATAAGTAAGAATTGTGAACACAGTACTAGGTAGGCTGCTGTATTTCAACTTGTTACAATTTGTTAGTCGTAAATGTTGTGAAATCTGAAAGGGTGATGTCTAGGTACAAACACTGCTGCCAAATTTTCTGTGGTACCCATGCCTGTTCTTACATAGCCAATGACAAAGCCAGCAGTGCATTCTGTGGTATGAGACTATCCTTGAAAGCTCTGGTATCATCTCTCAGGATCAGGGCCACAGTAGTAGGTAGTAGGCTGTATAGTGATGTTGAACATATACCTGTTTCTTTCTTCCTTGCCATGAAGCTGCCGCTGAGAGCCCTTTTCCATTCCAGGTGCCTGGTCTCGTGCAAAATGCAGAGGGAGCAAAAGAGAAGGCAGCCCCACTGTAGCTGCTGTAACGCAGATATCAAAGAAAGTGCTGAATTCCATGGTTCCCATCCATCTGGCATGTCCCCCTGGTATTCCAACTCTGTCAGCCCCTACTATTTTCCAATGAGATGATATTCAAAAAGGCCACAGCATATTGCACAAAGAGATCCAAGGCCAAAAAAAGAGCACTTTGTCCAGGGCTCAGTGGTGTACCATGCTTTTTCAGCAGCCTGCACAATATCAGTTAAAAAAAATTTCATAAAATTCTTTTTATGCATGAAAGTAAAAACAGGACAGCTAATGCTAAAGTGTAAATATAATGTGTTCTGTAGTATTTTGCTGTGTGGTTTGCTGCCTCATGTGGCTCTGCTGCCAGATGTCCATGGTGAGAGAAGATCATATGTACTGACCAGTCCCTGTGTCCTCTGAGTGGGGTGAGCCAGGCTGTAGTCACAGCACCTCTGCTTGTCAGTGATGTCAGTGGTGAGACAAAGTAATCCTGAAGGAGAAGCTGCCCTTTTAAAGGAAGGCAGGGAGCCATTGCACATTACATGTTGGCATGATACATACTGGTTATTTGAACTAGAGAGGGCAAAATACCTTAGGCCTGTTGCCCAGGTTTTATGAGTTTATTTGAGTATGTCTGACAGATTGCTGTCCCCAGCTCTGTACCTCACCCAGGATGTGCAAGGTGCCTCTGAGTCAGCTGCTGCATCACCTCTATTTACATCATGGCTGTGGTCTGGAGTATAACAGGCCTGATTCATGTTGATTCATCAACAGCTCAAATGTCTATACAGTCTGTGCTACATTATTTTTCTGGGACATTATTTTTCTTCTTTCTTCTTATCTGAGGTATTCCTACTCTTCACCACTCTTTGCCATTAGCCGAGCTTGACTATGGGAAGATTGTGTTCTGCAGTGAGTTGCTAGAAGTTCTTCCTTCTCCTGCCCCCACCTCGCCTCCCTCTCGTTTCAAGAGACTTTTTTCAATCCTCATTTGCAGAAGCACAGTGTCAGATGGGTCCTCGCTGTGCTGCCAACCTGTGCATGTCTGCAGGGGGCTGCCCCTTCAGTTCTTGATGGCCTACTGAGGCAAGTATTTGGTAATTTTGTTTCCTCTGCTTTTCTGCTCACTTAACTGGGTCTTAATCCGTTCTTGTCCCTTTTAACTTCATGCAGAACTGAAGAACATTATGACACAACAACATTAAAAGCATTGCAAAATGCTCCTGTATTTTCTGCACAGCAGTTGTGGACAAAGCTCACAAAATACTGTGTTATTATGAGCTGCAGGGAAAAATAATGTCTATTGTACACAGGCTTCTTCCTTGCTACTGTGAATGCTCCTTTCTGAGCCCCTGGTGCTCTCTACAGGGCAGGGGCACCCTAAGCATTTCTCTACCTAAC